TGTAGGAATGTAAAAAAAAAAATCTAACCTTATTAAATCTCTTATGACTTCCCTTTCCTGTTTACTTTTTTTATGCTTCTCTTAAGTCTGGCATTTGAATGCTCACTGAAGAAAATAATTGCTTAAAAATTAGAATGGAGCAAATGGAAGCTGATGACTTCATCTGACATTTGAAAGTCAGATTTCTTATTCACCTTTGGTCATCAAGAATGCTTGAAAGTCCTCTATCTCATTGAATTTCCATTTTTTTCCCTTGAAGGATTATACTCAGTTTTTCTGGGTAGGTGAGTTTTGGTTGTAATCCCAGCTCCTTTGCCCTCTGGAATATCATTCCAAGCTCTCTGATCCTTTAAGGTAGAAGCTGCTAAATCTTGTGTTATCCTGACTGTGGCTCCACAGTACTTGAATTGTTTCTTTCTGGCTGTTTGTAATATTTTCCCCTTGACCTGAGAGCTCTGGAATTTAGATATAGTATTTCAGGCAGTTTTCATTTTGGGACCTCATTCAGGAGGTAATCAGTGGATTCTTTCAATTTCTGTTTTACTCTCTGGTTCTAGAATATCAGGGCAACTTTCTCTGATAATTTCTTGAAAGACATAGATATGTAGGCTCTTTTTTTGAACTTGGCTTTCAGGTAGTCCAGTAATTTTAAAATTATTTCTCCTGAATCTATTTTCCAAGTCCGTTGTTTTTCCTATGAGATATTTCTCATTGTCTTCTATTTTTTTTTCATTCTTTTGGTTTCTGATGAAGTCATTAGCTTCCGTTTGCTCCATTCTAATTTTTAAGCAGTTATTTTCTTCAGTGAGCATTTGGGCCTCTTGCCATTTGGTCTGTTTCTTAAGGTGTTTATTTTTTTATGGCTCCTTCACCAAGCTGTTGACTCTTTTCTCATGGTTTTCTTGCATCACTTTCATTTCTCTTCCCAATTTTTCCTCTACTTCTTTTACTTTTTTTTTCTTTACTTGATTTTCAAAATCCTTTTTCAGTTCTTCCATGGCCTGAGACCAATTCATATTTTTCTTGGAGGCTTTGGATGTAGGAGCTTTAACTTTGCTGTCTTCTTATGAGTATGTGTTTTGATCTTCCTTGTCACCAAAATAACTTTCTATAGTCAGATTTTTTCCCCCCATTGTTTGCTCATTTCCCCAGTTTATTACTTGACTTTTAATTGTTTGTTAAAGTAGGGCTCTGTTTCCAGGGTGAAGTACACACTGTCCCAAGCTTCAGGGGAGCAGCTGTTTTCAGAGATACTTCTAGGGACCTGAAAGTTTTCTGTTCTTCCAAGGAGGAATGATCTCAGGAGCGGTATTTTCTACTCTTCTGGCTTGTGCTCTGGTCTGTGAACTACCACAAGGACTCTTTTCTGTCTTTGAATTATGAGAAGGGTCCCCCCCTTCACTGTGGCTGCCAGCTCTGCCATGCTAGTGCTATTCCTTCTCCCGGGACTGCCACTCAGGGCTGGGACCTTGCTCTGAGTGTGGGCAAAGCAACAGAGTCCTGTCTCAGTGCTGGTAAAGAGACCTCCTTCTGACCAGTTGTTTGACCCCCTTACTGTCTGTGGACTGAGAGCCCTGGGAAGTAGCCGCTGCTGCTTCAGTCATTCCCTGGGCCTTCCTGCTGACCTTCTAAGTTATCCCTGGTGTCTGTAGGCTGAGAAGTCCAGAAACCGTCACTGTTGCCAGCAATTCAGTTGCCCTGAAGCCTGCTCCAGGCTTGCCAGGGTAGCCTGTGCTGTACTGCATTTCTCTCTCAGCCTGATGCAACAGATCTCTCCTGCCGACCTTCCAAATTGTCTTGGGCAGGAAATTTGTTTCACTCTATCTTTTTATGAGTTCTGCTGCACTAGAATTTGTTCAGAGTCATTTTTTAAAAGATATTTGGAGGGTTTTGGAAGAGAGCTCAGACAAGTCCCTGCCTTTACTCTGCCACATTGGCTCTACCCCTGGTAGAGTATCGGAAAGACTCTTGTGATAGGCAGACCAACCAGTTGTCCATTGTATAGTCTAGGTTTGACAAGAAGGAACACCTATACCATGATGGTGTATCAGAGGACAGAAGGCAGCATATTTGAGAGACATTACAAAAGTAAAATTTGACAGGCTTTTGCAATAGATTGGGTATGAGAGATGAGAAAGAATAAGGAATTGAGAATGACATTTAGATGGTGAGGCTGGGGGAGTAGAGGATGGTGGTACCCTTGACAGTAATAGGGAAGTTTAGAAGTAAGGAGAATGTGGGGAAAAGTTGTTGTTTGTCCTTTGTTTTTGAAGAGGACCAATGACATCATGGCTGATGTCTTGACTTGCACATGAATTGGATTTTAGTGAGGCACAGTTGCAGAGAGTCTTCAGCCTCATTCTCTCTTCCAGAATCATCAAAGTCCAGTGACAAGGCAAAAGTCAAGATGACTGGTGATGGCCTGGGATGCAGTGAATGACTTTGGAATCTTTAATTTCCACTGTGCCTGTTTCAGCCACCTTCATGGTCATTGGAACAAATTGTTCTCATCCACTTATTCTACCAGGGCAAGTCTTTATATGCTTGGGTAGACATCCCTCTAACTCACTGACAGGTTTGAGCCCTGTTGGTTACCCTCAACCTAGTTTAGCCTGTCTGCTGAGACAATTTACTGGGGTGTGGCTGCTGTGTATGCTACAGCTTCCTGGAGCCACAGGTGAGAGTTGGGGGAAGGTAGACACCAAAAGTGAATGAGCAGCCCTAAAAATGTCTTGGTAAGCCCTCACACCAGAAGTGCTAATTCTCCCTGAATATCCCATATGGAGGCAGAGAAAGAGGAGTGAAGATGTTTATACACCTCCCTCCCAACTCCAGAAATTAGCACGCTCAGAACTTCCATGACCCTATACTAGAATGAAGGATGTAGCTCTTTGACATTACGTTATTTGCTAGAGAGCCATATCATTTTGTATTCTCATGCTATGCATTTGCCTATTTTATTGCCTGTTCCTCCTGATCCTTTGGAGGTGCCACCCTCACCCAGGACAAGGTTCATGTGAGTGTCACTTGCTTTGTGGCATCCCTAACACACAGTTATAACCATTTAATCAATTGTATTTGATGCTGATGATGGTGACAATGAAATTCATCTTTAAGCCACCAACATTCCCAACAATGTAGCTGGCTGACAGCAAATGACAAAATATGATACTGTACTGGCTCAGGCCCACTTTAAGTCTTCTAAAGCTAAGCGAGGGAGGCATGGATAACTAGAACCAGAAGCACTGATGACTAGTGGGATGAGAAACAACTCTGTCCTGTGTAGGACCAGGATTATTATCCATTTTTGTATATCTCAAAGCCTGTACCAGTGTCTTTAACATAGTATGCTTCCAAAAATGTTTGTTGAATGAATCATAGTATATTAATTGTTGGAAGAAATGTTCAAGTTTCACCTGCCCCCTCCACTCCTTCCTCCTTGTTGTATAGATTTTTGTGTACCCCATTTGTTTGAGATAATTTTCCTCATTGTTTTTCTCTCCCTCATGCTTTTTTTTTAAAAAATAATTTCTGCTTTACCTCTTCCAGGAATTCTGGATGGATTGTTACCTAAACTATATTTTTTCTTTGAGGCTTTGCTTGTATATGTTTCGGAATCATTCTTTTCTTCTGAGTTTGTTTCTTGATCTTCCCTGTTGCCATAATATATATTTTTTTAATTGTTCATTCTTTCAGCCTAATTCTCTACTTTGGGCTTTATGTTATACCTGGGCTCTGCTTACTTCTGGGAGGATGTTTGGACTGAGCTTTTGTCCTCTTGAGTTCTTCTGCTGCTTTCTTGTGACATTGAATATTATGTTATTCCAGGGTCTCAAAGATATCTCTGAATGGGACCTGTGAGCTTTCAGTGCTCCCAAAGTGTTGTAATCTGGAGTTCAGCCTGTTAACTTCCCTCATGGTTTTGAGCTCTGCGAGTTCCTGACCCAAATTTGGGTCTGAGGAAGATCTCAGTTGACATTTTCAGTAGATACTGCTGGCTCCTGTTGGCTTCTTGGGAGGTTCTGCAGATTCAGGGTGACTCTTTGATCTAGAATATCTCCTCAGGCTAGTGTGCTGCAGACTTTAGCCAGGGCTGAAGGGTAGAACTGAGTCCCTGTTGTGCTCCTGGGATTGGAGCCACACAATAACTCTCCTGAACTTGTTCCTTATTCACTTAGGCCTACTGACTGTTTCACTGCCCCTACATGCAGACCCCTTGTCTCAGTCCACTTGGATCCTAAGAACTGGGTAATGTCAGTGTTGCCAGATGGCATCTGTCTTGCATCCTGTTATACTAGTTCAAGGACTCCCTTGGACCTTCTTCTGCCCTGTGCTTCCTGTTCCAGGAATGAGCTGGGTAATGGAGTGCTCTGCTCAGCCTCATGTTCCTGGCCAGACCTCATCCCCAGTGTCTATAGAACTTTCTTTTTCACTATGCCAACCTGACTTGACAAAATGAATCACTTTGATTTTTTTTTTCCTTGGATTTCCCAATCAGATTTTGTTTGATACCTTTTCTGGGTCTTTGTGTAGGAGCTGTGGTAGAGAGCTGGACTTCCTAATGCTCTGCCATCTTAGCCCCCTCCCCTACAATTTGTAAGATCTGAGAGGAGAAGAGCTATGTTTTATATTTTTTATCTTTTTCATTACCTAGCACAATGCATGTGCATATAATAGTCTTCAGTCAGACATCAAATCTGTAGAAACTCAAAATTTACCCATGCAATTGGATTATGATTTTTTTTGTTATTAACTAGCTTTGACTGGCCATATCAATATTATATTTCTGTTGTTTTATGTATGTTTGAATGCTTTTTTGGTAGATTTCCCCCTCTATAAGCTTCTTGAAGGTAGGTCCCATGTCCCCATTTATTTTGTAATTCCAAATAGATGCTGTGTGGGCACTCAATAAATGTTGCTTGATGATGACACATTGTATTTTTATTTCTCTTCTGCTTCTTTCCCCATTCACATATAAAATATTTAAAATTTTATTTCAGGTATATTGTATTTTATTGCCCATATGACATAGTTTCCGAGTGCTATCGTTTCCCGCCTGTTAAACTCTTGGCTACAGGAATGAAGGAAGTGACCAGAACTTGGAAAATCGTAGGTGGAATCACACATGCTAGTAGCAATTACACAGATGCCTGGATGGTGTTGATAGCTGTTGGATGGGCCCGAGGTAATATTAACGTCATAAATTATTACCTAATATACCAGAACTGTTGATTAGTCCTTTAGTCACAGTAATGGAATCACCTGCTCTATTAATGGGAAAGTTTTAGAAATAAGAAATTTTTGTTTTTAGACTCCTTATTCTCTATGGACATGAAAGTGTCATCTTATTTTGGAAATTGGCATACTTAATTAGGAATCCCCACAGTCACATAGCTATAAGCTATTTATGGTTCAATGCTAGATATAAAGCCAATTTAAACATGTGACATAATAATTGGGAAACGATTATTTAGAACCACTTGAAATTCTTGATTTCTTCTGTAATATAAATTGGACTATCCTTGATAAATTGCATTTTCTTTTTGGACTTTTTATTTTAATAGGAGCAGTGCAGTTTTTCTGCTCAGGTACTTTGTAATTTTATTATATGTTCGAGTTACAATTAATTTAGCACATTCTTCCAACTTCACATTAGGTGAATAAGTGTACATGCATGAATGAAAATAACTTATTATTATAAATTTTCCGTATTTTTAGACCATAGAACACATTGGAATAAGTAACAAGATTTATAGGGAAGTTTCCTTTTGAAATATCTGGACAGTTTTTCTGGTCAGTTATAAAACCCTGCTTAGATTTGGGTTTGTAGCCCTAACTTCTCCTGCTAATGGAATATAAAACGCAAGTGTTAACGGCAGTGAAAGAACAAGACTATAGTTTTCTCAGGATCTTAATATAGTGGCCAATTTTTGATATCTTGTTATAATCTGGAAAGTATGGTAATTTTAGGTTATAATTGTATGCTGATTTAATTAACCCTGCTTATTTGAAACTTTTTATTAGATTTTTCAGCTGGAAGATGTTATAGAATTATCTTCATTTGGTTCTACTTAATCATGTCAATAAACCAAATCTAAATAACATTACTTTCTGGGTTTTAGGTGCTGGTAGTAATGCAATCATAAATCTGGAGCAGTTTCTAAGAGGGACTTGGAAACCTGAAACGAGCAAATCGCTGAAGATGTCCTAGTAAGTTGGTGAAACTATATTGTTGTTATTGGAATCATTGAATGTCTTTCTTAGACATGAATTTGAGAAATCTAAACCTGTGAAATTTAAGTATTAAAACCATATAGCTATTGGGAAATAGAGTAAGGAAGCAACCTGATATGGTAGAAGCAGCACTGGCCCTGGAGTCAAAGGACCTAGATTCAGATCCCACAGCTGAGACTTGCTATGTTGTGTAACCTCCTTAGGCTTCAGTTCCTCATCTTCAGAATGAGGAGGTTGGACTGGATGCCTCTGAGGTCCCTTGCAGCAATTCTAGATCTATGAAAAAAGTAACTTTTTTAGTCTTTGAAACATTTTTTGAAGGCTTTACAAAAAGATTTGTTAAAATAAAAACAAACAAATAAACCCCCCTGAGTTACAATGGGATTGGGAATATTTTGTCACTAGATAGGAAATAAAGACATCCAAGCACTTTTGTAAGTGCTGTCAATGACAAGTTACCCAGGGAACCCTCCCAATAGTTAAATATTGAGTTGATGAGTTAAATAGCAAGCAGTTATCACAATATGTTGTGAATTGGTTTAAAAAAAATGGCAGTTGAATTTCATAGTGAACAATTATACATGAACGTATCTGGAGAAAAATAACCCAAAATGTGTTTAGAGAATGATGTTGTTTGAGCTGTCATTTTGAACCCATTAAAAGGAACTTGGAGTCATTGTCACATGTTCTTTGAAGATTTTGGCCCAGTGTGCTGCTGCAGACAAAAGAACTCGTATTGGACATCATCAGGAAATAGTAGAAAAAAGCAAGTCACGTTTGTATAGCACTTTAAAGTTTGCAGGTGCTTTCCTCATTATAGTCCTGTGAGATAGGTATTGCAAGTTTCATTATCTTTGTTTTACGGATGAGGAAACAGATTCAAACAAGCTGAGTGACTTTTTAAAGGTCGTGCAACCAGGTAATGTCAGGACTGACATTTGAATCCAAGTCTTTGCTGGTTCTTAAGTCTAGTGCTCTTTCCACTGCCACCTGCTGGCATTAACCATGGTTAGGGTACATCTGAAAATGAAGTCATGTATACAGGGGCCTTATGCCAAGAAGGAAGAAGGTTCAGAGGAAGTGAACTATAGAATAATCAAGGTGGTGGAGGGCTTCTAATGAAAACAGTTGTAAAAAATAAGATTCTGTAATATAAATAAAATGAAGTGTGAGGAAGTATAAGATGGAAGTTCATAAACTTAAAAAATGTATGGACAGAGTAAATAGGTTTTACAAAATCATTTCAGTGTTAAAAACCATTTTGCAGACTCAGGTGAAATTACATGCCCAAGGTCAGAATATGTGAGTTGGGATTTAAACCCAGGTCTCCTAACGTCAGGTCCAGTGCTCTTTCTACTATACCATGTTGTCTTATTTAAATGTGAGTTATTGTCATCAGCATCAGCATCAGCATCAGCATCATCACCATCATTCTTATTTATGGAATGGTAGTCTAACCTGGTATATTTCTACTGTTCTTTGTAAGATATATTAAGATATGACTTGTGATTGTTTCTGTATTAATATTAAAGTCTGTGGTCACGCATCATTATGTAACAGCAGAATTAACATTCGTTGAACATCAAAATGGTAAAAAAAAAAACCATTTACTGTAATTTTATAATTCTGCACTAGTTGTTTCTATCTTGCTCAAAATAACTGGACCATTGTTGTTTCATACTTACTTACATACATACATACATACATACATACATACATACATACATATAGGTATACAGTATATGATAGGATACACATTAAATTTATCCAGTGAGATATATGTATGTATATATATCTGGTTCTTAAGTCTTAAATATTAATTAAATATATCTACATATCACTAGATAAATTTATTGTATACCTATCATGCTTCTTTTTAATGGTATTTATCATATGCTTTATTCTCAGAGTCCAATGTCAGTGTTGTAAGAAAAAAGAAAAGTTAAATCATTCCTAAGAAGTCTTAAGGCCTAAAATGCTATCTATATGTATACTTATTAATGTATATCGAGATTGCCAAAAAATGCATGAATAATAGTACTCAAGATACAGTATCAGCTGTAATCTCAGCATGACCTACATTTTTATGCAGTTGTCTTTGGTAAGAAAAGGTGACAAAAAATGTTAGCAATGCTATTTCTAAATTGAAAGTTTTCTTTTTATCAGCGATTTTAAAAATATTATGCTTTATTGATTTCTTATTTTGGCAACTGACATTTTGATTTTTACTATAATTTTATATTTACTGACTCACAAATGCATTTTTTAAAGTTATTTTTTTCCATTCATTTTCTGTTTATTCTGCTAGATCTTCAAGATGACTAAAACCTTATGTAAATATACAAATATAAATTTTTTGGGAAATAGTATGTTGTTTTCCTTAAAGTCAGTGTCCTTGAATTATTTTGACGAAGATTTCTTAGATTTGGGGTGGGTCCCTTCTGGTTGAAAAATAAAGTCTATGAGCCTTTTTCTTATTTTTAAATTGGAATAAAAGTATTATTGTTTGAAATTTTAATATTCTTAGTTCTCTTTTGTTTCCCCATGTCATATAGTTTTTTCAGTGCTTTCAGTGCTTAGTCTGCTACTAATAATGTGAAACTTGGGTAGATCATGTAAGTTTTCTTAATTTGTTTCTAAAATTGTAAATTAGGGATTAGGTATATTGATACATTCTGTTCACTGTGGATGCTGTAAGGAATAATGATGTGGAGATATGTTGAAATGAATGAAGTTTTTCAAAAGAAAGACATTATTTTTCAATGTCCACTTCATTTAAGAATAATAAATCAAACCTTTCTTCTCACACTAAGTTACAAATAATCGCTTTTGTGATTTATATTTAGCTGCTTCTAGAGACTCCTAACTAGTCCTTGCCATGTACTGAAATTAGCTCAACTCATATGCTGTCTCTCTCTGCAAAAGACCTTGATCCCTTCTCATCAAATATTTTGGACTTCTGCCTTCAAGATCTGTAGGCCAGACCTAACTTTTGTTTGACTTAATATTCTCAGTTTTCAATGACTAAATTACAAAACAATTCCAACTATTATTTTCACAGAGTAATAAAACATATGGATAACTTAGTGCTTATACAATATGATATTTTCATAGTTTTGGTAATTTTTACTTATTTATAGAGTTTATCCTTAGTTGCAAGTATGGATAAATAAAATTTTATTATAGTACTATCATTAAAATTCTGTACAAATAAAAAATATGACAAGAAGGTAATTTTGAAAATATTAAGCTATCTTCGACACTCCTGTGGGAATCCATCCATAAAGTGGGGATGATAACACTTGCACTACTTGTCTCACAGGAGTGTTGGGGAAAAGAGCGTGGGAAATCTTAATGTGCTGTACAAATCTGAGTTCTACCCTTAAGTTATTGGTCTGACACTATCAAACTATGTCTTTAAGGTTGGGATGAATTTATGACCTATATATTATTATATACTGAATTAAAATTAATTTTATTTTCAGCCCTGTGAAGATAAGTCTGGTGGGAGCAGTTCTCTTCACATTACAGCACGCAGGGAAGCTGCCAATGGAAAAACATAGTCTTATGTTCTGCTACACTTTTTTTATTGTTGTCACGAAGGTAAGAGTCCATAATACCTTTTAATTAATTTTTACAAATCCTGTATCAGCCGTTCTCTTTCTTAGGAGAATTACATGAAGTTTAAGTGTCGGCAGTATTTTTTTGTGGTTGAGCTAGCTCAATAGAACATTGGTAGTTGAATATGGGCACCGAGACAGTTATTAGAGTTTCATTCTTAAAGCATTACTTTCCCTTCATATCCTTTTGCTTTTGCGGGGACCAGAAGAGAAGAATTCTGGGTAGCTTGAGACAGGTCAGGTACACACTGCCTATTATGGAAAGGGCAGTGGTGTCCCAGGGCTGGGTTCATTCAGGCATATGTGCTGTCATTTGGAAAAAGAACCCTGGAGCTCTAGGAAGCATTTGGGGGTGGACCATTGGATCATAGACCCCAGATGGACAGAACTTTAGAGATTGTCTAGTTCAGTGCTCTTATTTTATGGATGAAGAAACTCAAACTCAGAGAAGTTGTACAGATAGTTAACTGAACTGGGATTTGAACACAGATTCTCCCTCCCCAAAATGCTTTGGTTGTTAGCGCTCTCAACCTCCACAAATTTTGTTGTCTTCTTAGCAGTAAAACTGTTGCATTTCTCCAACAGAATTTAATTTTCTCAAGGACAGGTTTTTCGTATTCCCAGTGCTTAACACAGTACCTTTGCATGTAGTAGGTACTTAGAAAATGTTTATTAAGTGAATGAATGAAAATCTAGTGCCCTTTCCAGTCCATCACCTGCTTCTCTTTTTGTAAATTGTAAGAATGATCATTCCTCATCCTTCATCAGCAGGAAGTATATTTTAGTGTAAGGAAATTTGCCTAGACCAAGAATAATTTCACAATTGTATCTCAAATTAAATAGAAATGCTCTTCCTCATTTTGAAAAAAATACCTATGGGATCTTGAAAAATTAATGTATTTTATACTGTTTGGTATGTAACAGCAGGGAACAATTGACGTAAGACTTTTTTAATCTCTACATTGATATGGTCTGTGATGCAAATACTCTAAACATTTAAGGCATATTTAGGTGAACTGGGAAAATGTGGTGTGTCTGTTTGTCTTCCTTCCAGTGATAGACATCATAAACCCTTTAAAAGAAGGTTTCTTGATGCCTTCTTTTTTTTTCACATTGCGAGCATTTTTGGATACACCCCTTAAGCAAAATCCACTGATAGAGGAACACCACATCAGATGCTATATGCAACACTCCATCACAGTAGTTCCTGCCTTTCTGGGTGCCATCTTCCAGATACCTCAAAGAGGGAATGGGCTTTTTCATGTGTTCTCCTTGCCACAGCTTCTTATCTCTACTGTGCAGTTCTCATCTCTCTTTTACCAAAAATCTTCTATAAGAAAATCTTCACAACATGGCTTGAAAGCTATCCTTTTTTTTTTTTTGACAGTTGGGGTTAAGTGAGTTGCCCAGGGTCACACAGCTAGTGAGTATCATGTGTCTGAGACCGGATTTGAACTCAGGTCCTCCTGCTCCAGGGCCAGTGCTTTATCCACTGCACCACCTAGCTGCCTCTTTCCTCCTTTTTTAAAAAGAACTTTGGTAGGCATCTACTTGGGTTTCATCTCTTGTCATTCTTGGTACCTAGAACATAGATTTATTATTGTCTCTTTTATTTCCCTTTATTCCCTCCATTAGAAAAAAAAAAAGAAAAACATAACCTTGTAACAAATATGCATAGCCAAGTAGAACTTATTTCCACATTAGCCATTTCCAAAAAATGTGTCAGACTCTTCTTTCTGAGTCTGTCATCTCTCTGTTAGGAGGTGGGTGGCATGCCCTCATTGGTCCTTCAGAATCATGGCTGGTCATTGCATTCCTCAGAGTCCTTGAGTCTATCAAAATTATTTGTTTTCCCAATGTAGTTGTTATTGTATAAATTGTCCTTGGTCTGCTCACTTTATTCTAAATCAGTTCATACAAGTCTTTCTAGCCATTTCCTTCCCCAGTGGATTAAGGCAAACAGGTTAAGTGACTTGCCTAAGCTCACATAGTAAGTGTCTGAGGCTGGATTTGAATCTAGTTCTTCCTGACTCCAGGCCTAGTGTTCTATCCACTGAGCCATCTAGCTGCCTCATTATGTTACAGTAATATTCTATTAAATACAGTGATTTCTCCAGCCATTTCCCAATTAATAGGTAATTCTAATCCTTTTCTACTACAAAAAGAGCTGCTACAAATTTTTTGTACATGTGAGTATTTTCTTCCTTTCTTTAATAGGATTTAGAGATGGTAGGAACTTTATTCAGTTCCTTTATTTTACAGATATGGAAATGGAGGCCTGGAGAGAGGAAGCAGTTAGCTCAAGGATACAGAGACAGTGACAGAATTAAGCTCTGCCATATTCTAAACCCACCACCCTTTACACTGCACCATAGTGTGCCCATCTTTCCCTTTTTGAAGTCCGAGCAGAACATCCAGGTCAAGATACCCCTTTCCCATTTAGAAATGTAGGACTAAAGCTTTGGGGACAGGTTGGGAATGGAGAATGGAGATCTCAGAGTCCCCTGCATAAAGGATGATGAGGATTAGGTAAAAGCACCGAGGATATTTAGCTTATAGAAGAGATTTAGAGCAAATGTGATAATCTTAAGGTATTTAAAGAACTGTCAAATGAAAGATCTCTGTTCTGTAGTCCCAGAAAGGCAGAGCTAGGAGTGATGGGTAGGGGCTGGAGAGAGATGCCGGATTAATATAAACTGCCTTGTGATTAGAACCATCTAAAAGTAAAGTGGGCTGCTTCAATATTAGAGAGTTGCATTTCACTACAGGTTTCCCAGCCATCACTTGTTATGGATTTTATGGAGGGATTTCTTTGTTATATGTTGAATTGGAGTTCCCTGATTATCCTTAACAGCTCTGAGATTCTTTGAAGTAATTATTGATGCCAGAGGAGTTGATAAGATCACTTATATTACAGCAAGACCATTTTTCCATATTATTCTTTGAGAAATGGGAGAAAATATTTTCAAATGAGGAGAAAATACAGATTAAGGACATTAACCTCCTACCCTACTAACTTATATGTTCCCCCTCTGATTATCTCTTATTCTCACCAAAATTTGAGGGAGGCATGTTTTTGTCATTTTATAACTTTGAGTTTGCACATTTAACTTAAAATTTTATTAATCCTTAAAAAATACCAGTGAAGATGAATTTTTCTTCCAGATAGAGTGGCACCCTAGATATTTGGTTTGAAGAACAGGATAAATGTTTAGACTAAAAATTTATGTATGGCTCTAAACAAAAGTCCTTATAACCTCTTTTCCATCATTGATTTATAATACTGAATTTTAATGCACTATTTATAAATAGTATAGATCTTTATAGAGATAAAATTTTAATTTAATTGAAATAATCTCTAGATCTTTATTGAAATTAAATATTTAAGGGGCAGCTAGATGGTGCAGTGGATAGAGCACTGGCCCTGGATTCAGGAGGACCTGAGTTCAAATCCGGTCTCAGACACATAACACATACTAGCTGTGTGACCCTGGGCAAGTCAGTTAACCCCATTGCCTAGCCAAAAGACCAAAAAAAAATATCTAAAAGTTTTGTTAACATACCATTTAGGGGCGGTGAGGGGCACAGTGGATAGAGCACTGGCCTTGGAGTCAGGAGGTCCTGAGTTCAAATCTGGCCTCAGACACTTGACATTTACTAGCTGTGTCACCCTAGGCAGGTCACTCAACCCCGATTGCCTCACCAAAAAGCAAAACAAAAAAGTACCATTTAAAACAAATTATGTAATTTGATATCAGTGCTGAGCTAGGTCTCTTCTAACTCTGAGATTCTGTGATTCAACCTTGCTGATAATCCTAAATAGTTTGCTTATAGTTTATTCCAATTCAAATCTTACACACAAACTGATTGAAGTATTTCTGATTCATACTGTTCATCTTACTGTCGAGTACAGACTCTTGTGAGTTCTTTTTGCTGGTTCCTGAGGTTCTAGACCATGAGAGTATCTAATGTTCTCTGGGCAACTTCGTTTAACTTCTGGTGATTTCTACTGTTTTAATATCTCTCAGCTACTCCAGAAGAAACTTTACTTTACTTTTAGCTCTCAACTTTTCTATAGCCTTTATTTCAAAGAAGCAAAAGAGTATATAACTATTTTTCCCCAATCAGGAGGAGATAACTTTTCCCACTTTTACTCTTTACATATAGTGAAACTGCCTCCCTTCTCTTCAGAACCCTGACTAGGAGTAATTTATTTGGTGGGGAAAAATAAAAATTGTTTGTTGAGATTTAAACTAGCTTCTTTATAAGAAGGCATCCAAGGGCTATTTTTCTCCCAGAACTTAGACTTCAAAGGAGGTATTCTAAAGGTTTGATTAGTAAACCTGGAACTATGGAAAAACAGAGGGCTGTCTCTATACCCATTCAAGAGGAAGAGAAACTGCAATGCAGTGCAAGTAGACTAATGAATCCTAATTTAGAAAAATTTGATATGCTGAAAAATCCACATTTGCAAAATCTATATTAAAGACTAACAAAGTAGGTCATACAGTCTCCTGAGTATAAATCTAGCTCTATTTTCAAGTGTCCAGAAAATACCCGGGCCTATCCCAAGCATCTCTGAAACTACCCTGGAATCAGTCAGGGACACCTAAGGACCAATGAGTAATTCATTTTCTGCCAACTGTAGAGTACTTGGTATAAATTATGTTTTCTCTTCTTTTGAATTTTGTAGTCTGTCTGTAGGGATAAGGACTGCAATGTGAATCCATTGGTTTAGGGAACTTCTTGGGCTATACCTTCTCTGCAACTTACTGTGTTAGATATTTTTAAGAGCCCCAAGAGGTTAAGTGACTGGGCCAAGGTCACACAGACTGTATGAGGCAAAGGTGGGATTGGAACACAGGGCTTCTTTGCCTTGAGGCTGGCTTTCTATCCACTGCAACACATTGCCTTTCAATCTGTATGTGTACAAATAAAATAAAATCAATTAACAAAGTTGTAAAAGTAAGCAAATATAAGGGGCACTATGGGGAATTATTCACTTTTAAAGTTTAAAATACATAATTTGCACAAGCATTTACACTATACCTATCCATTTATAAGAAAATTATAATTCTCTATCTCAACAGTGTCTTCCTGCTCAGTTGTGTGCATCTTCACTTGTCTAAGACCTACTCTTCCTTTAGGGCATATAGCTACTCCCAATCTCTCCCATCCACGGGCAGTACTCTCTTCTGATGGTGCTTCCACACCAATTAGAGCTTGCCTCTTAATACAGTGCACAACACACTCAGTACATATTTGCTCTTACTATATCTTCTGTTGTCGATTATAATAAACACATTTTGCATCATTTTTACATATCTCTTTTCAGTTATTGAAACTACCAAAATATTGTATTGAAATTTAAATTTAACTGTGTTTTTTTCAGATAGCCATGATGCTTACTGAGTCTGAGTCTTCTCCCCTCACTCCTTTTGAGATTATGCTGGGTCGAATGCTGTTTGGCTTTTGGCAGAGCGATACTTCATCAGTACCGTGTAAATCATCTTTCAATGGTACAGGCACAAGGTCACAACACTATTCAACTAATGTTGAAACTAAGAGGAGACATAATAAGAAGACAGAATAAATTCACTTGGCAAGCGCTGGGTTGCCAAAAATATTTTCTTACTTGTTTACCTCGCAAATTGTGATAAATATTTCTGTTGCAAATGATGTGAAGAAAGGATGATATGTAAGGAAATGCAGGTGACAAAAAGTATTGCCTTCTGCTTGAGAGGGCTACTATTAACCCTTTAAAAGAGGCAATGTAGAGTGTAATTTCTTGTATCATGTAAGAATGTTTTTTTGAGTTAAATGTAAAAGATTCTATTGTGATCATTTTTAATAGTTTTATATTGATGAAATAAGGCTAACATTTTTACAAGTGCTAGGAAAATAAACCTAAAAGGTAGTTACAAAATAACAAAAAAAGTTTTCACTTTCCTTAGCGTTTTTCATGTACCATTTTTATTTGTATATGAAATATACCTCCAATTTGCACTGCTAATTACCTTCTATAATTTAAAGGTGTGGAAGCTTGCCAGTCATTTAATTGGAGCAATGAAGGGGGAGAATAAAACTTTACTAAGGTATTTCACATTATGAGTTGAAACTATATTACCAGTTTGTTTCAGGTACATTTTTCTATCTCTTGTCCATAAAATGTATCTAAAATTTTAGGTAATTATATTATTGACACTGGATATTAGTGATGTGGAGTCCCTAGCTAAAACCTACCTTTTGTTTAAAAGAAAAAAAAACAAACTTTTTTTTTCTTCCAAAATAAATCAGGGATTTTTTCATTAATTATTGATCTCATATTTTCCATTCTAAGAATTTGTCCCTTCTTTTCTTTCACAAAGTACATTTGTACTGTCTGTAGGAGAAATCATTAATTGTTATCAACATTTCACATAACTGAGGACAAAGAAAGGCTAAAGAATTTAAGCTGAATACATTGTGGTAGTTGTCATTTTAAAGGAGTTATCCCAATCCTTAAGTACATCATATTTTTAAAATAGCAATTTAAAAAATCCCTTTTGGATATCCTTTTCTGTTGTGGCTTTTTTTTTAGGTGAATATTCCTTACTACCTGTTTCCAAAACCAGTTTTCATGAGTCTAATGTTTATAATATGCAGGTAAATATATCATTTAAATTAAAATGAATTGCCTCCATGTGAAAATGTAGCATGTCCCTCTCCAGATGTCAATTTTTTTTTAAGTAACTCTTAGATTTTGGGTTATGACCAAATACCCAAACAAAAACAATAAAAACACATAGTAATCCATTTGAACACAGAATAATGGCATTAAATCTAATTCCTTTTTGGCAAAAAAAATTTTTTTGAAGTAATGTTAGATTTACATGCTTTATATTGCAGTTTCAAGTGCTAGTTAACACTTTGAGGCTTACTGATACGGTTTCATGTCCCCAGACTGTGGACCTATTGCTGTTGGAGGATTAACAAGTACTGGGCATTTTTGGATAGCTCAGAAACATTAAAATTCCATCCAAGTAACTGGTTTACAGATAGCCAGAATGTTTTATTATCAAGATATAATCAACACTACAGGTTCTATGATTTGAACACTTGCAAAAGAACAACACAGATTTTTGATATGCATGAAATGATAAGTATATTTTTAGTATTTTTTATTTTAAAAAAGCATTGAATAAGAGTCTTGTATAACATTTGATACTCTTAGTGTTTTAACATTTCATAGTAATACAAGAGATCTAAATGTCAGGCTAAATATTACCTGGTCATTTTTACACCAAGTTTATGTGTGACAAAGTGTTAAAAACTATTCTTGAAGTTTGCAGAATTACTGTAGCTGAAACAGACAGTGTGCTGTTTTATGTTTGTATTAGATACATACTTTTTAACATTAAAGTAATTTATTCATCACTTATGGTATGCTGGAAGACTTTTTCATCTTCTTTTTTTAAATGTGTGAAATCACTTCTGTGCATCTCGGTGGTTTTTCATTACCAGTCTCTTCTCTAGATCACAAGCAAATCACAGTGGGGTAAAAGGAGCTGAATGTGAAATCAGAGGACCGGAATACAGATTCTGGCAATGCTGCTGGTGTGACTTTGAACAACTGAATGCAGTTCATCAAGCTTTTATCAAGTACCTACTAGACAGTTTTCTAGGTCACTTCCTGCCTTCAGCAAGCTCAAATGTTCTACTCAGGGATGAGTGGGTGGGATGGAGAGAGAATGATGAGTACTTACAGAACAGATGCAAAATAATTTTGGCCATGGGAAGAACCACTAACCCTTTGGGGGCAGGATGAGACAAGGCTTCTCGTAGGAGTGTCCCTCGAGATGGGCCCTTACGGTATTCCTGTAAATCTCTAGGAATCCTAAGGGTTCCTGTTAGTCAACAAGCATTTATAAAGCACTTATTTTGTGCTAGGCATTGTGCTAAGTGCTGGGGATACAGAGAAGGGTAAAAATACAGCCTGTGCCCACAAAGAACTCTCATCCTGAGTAAGACAGTATACAAATAATTATATACAGATAAGAGCTATACATTTTTTTACAGGAGATGATTTCAGAGGGAAGGTATGAGAGTGGACTGGAGGGGAGGCCAGAAAGACCTTCAGAACATGAGGTTTGAGCTGAGTTTTAGAATGTGGAGGTAGAAATGAAAAGGAAGAACATTCCAAGCATCCGGAATAGCATGTGAAAATGCCTGGAGTCAGGAGATGGTGTCCCATGTGATGAATAGCAAATAAATAGCAAATACAGTACAGCAAAATGGCTGGACTGTGAGTATGAGGGGGAGTAATCTGAATCAGTCTGAAAAAGTAGATTGGGTCCAGACTGTGGAGGACTTGAAAGGTCAGAAGTTTATATTTTATACTAGAAGTGATAGGAAGTTACTAATGCTTTTTAAGGAGGGAATTAAAGTTGTCATAATTGTTCTTTAGGAATATCATGTGCTCAGACACTTGATGCTTACTAGCTGTGTGACCCTGGGCAAGTCACTTAACCTCATTCCCTAGCAAAACAAAACAAAAAAACTAACAAAAGACCCAACAAATATCACGTGGCAGTTTGTGGAGGATGGACTGGAGAGGAGAGATCTGAGCCAAGGACCCCACTGGAAAGCTATTGCAGTAGTCTAAGTGAGGGGTGATGAGGGCCTGAACTAGAATGGGGGCCATGTCACTGGAGAGAAAGAGAGTGTTAGGAGTTGTGGAGGTAGAATAGATAAGATTTGGCAAATAATTGGATGCATCAAGGGGCAAAATTGAAGAGCCAAGGGTGATGCTAAGGTTTCAAATCTGGGTGACGGGGAGGAGCATGATGCCTTAGATAGAAATAAGGAAATTTTATAGCCCTTTGGACATACAAATTAATTAGCTTTAACACTTTTTCTCTCTGTTGAACAGAATTACTAGTCAAAAGTGGAAAGGATATAGTATTTGGATCTTTATAAAACATTTTGTACAGTGATACTAGGTTTGACTTCAAATTTCATTTTGACTTCCATAAAAATAATGTCATGAAACCTTTTCCAAAAACCTTAGTAAAGGAAAGGTAATAATACACCAAGGAAGAAGTTGTCTGTTTAGATATCACAGGGGGTTAGTCTTAGACATTACTATATTTGACTCTTAATGAGCTGAATGAAGAAGTAGGCGTTATCTTTTTGTTTGTTAAGGTATATATTTAATTTGCCGATTTGTATCACTATCCAAAATATGTTTTTTTGAGCATTAAAAAAATGGTTAAATGTTTATGTTTTGAAAAAACCAATACTCTGTGTACCAAGTAGAAATTATCTGTAGACAAAAAAAAATTATCTGTGGATATAATTACAACTATGTATCCAAATAGTTATAATTTTAACCTTTAAAAAAAATTTTTTTTTTTAGGCAATTGGGGTTAAGTGACTTGCCCAGGGTCACACAGCTAGTAAGTGTCAAGTGTTTGGTCTGAGGCTGGATTTGAACTCAGGTCCTCCTGACCTCAGGGACGGTGCTGTATCCACTGTGCCACCTAGCTGCCCCGATTTTAACCATTTTTAAAGACTAATAGTTTTAACTAAAACTAAGTTGACATTTAGCATGTGCTGCTGAAGAAAGAAGTGATACTCATTCCCCTATCAAAAAATTGACCTCTTAAACAGAAATGTTAATACTGGCAATGACTGCTCATGGAAACAATGTCCAAAGAGTTCTTGAGTCTTGTTTTCTGAGATGCTACATTTAAGACCAAATAAAGAAATAAAAGGTTCATTTGAAAAAATTGTTGAAAGTGTGCTACAAAATTATATTCGCAAAACATTTCTGTAGAAATGATCCCTAGGTTAAGCCTTTTTATACACATATGCAAAATTTAAACAGCAATATACACATACAGTGAAGACAGCAAATTTGCTGATCTATAGTGTAAATACAAAATGCAAAGTAGCCTTCAAAGAGGACAATGCTGCACAGCGAGCGTCATTGGCAGTAGCTACCAAAGTAGCTTGATAGTATCTTCCGAAATGTACTGGAGGACTCTGGGTGTTGGAAATACTGGTGGTGGGAGATATAATTCAAAGGACTGAACCAGTGTTATTTGCAAAATGTGAGTTTAGAGTTAGAAGAGAATGATTTAAAACACAAATATTCAGAATCTAGGAGACACCTGGTAAGTGGTAATTAAGCCCAAAGGACAGAATGGACAGATCATTAGATATATTTGGAATTTGATAGCGGAAAAGGCCAGTGCTATTTTCTGCTACATACAAAGAGAAAGAACTCTGCTGGATCACACCTGGAATTTAGTACATAGCTTTGGGGTATCTTGGTAACAACCAAAAAGAGTTGGACCAGTATGAGTAACATGAATATTTAAATACTTAAAGAATTCATGACTTCATTAGAGTGGGCATACCCTAAACCCGTAGAGATAGCAGCTCCTCCATACCTTACTGGATGGTTTAGTGAGTTGTGGCCAGAATGAGTGATTGGTAGCCAATTTTGGTGAATCTCTGTACTCCTAGCTAGTTCTCAGAAAACACATAATGGAGTCTGTCAGAAAAGCAAGGCTTGAAGGCTTTCCAATTTAGTGAGGCCTGTAATCTGCCAACACAGCCTATAAGACCTTGAGTTTATCCACATTCCATAGTGAGGCATTAGAGGAAGACCCAATGGAAAAGGAAACTTGGACATCAGGTAAAGTGCTTCAGTAGATTTGTGATCTTTTCAAAGGGGTCATTTTCACCATCTCTGTAGGTCAGGAACAAAATTTAGCTTATAAATAGAAGTAGCATATTTTATCATATAAAAATACCTCAGCAATCCAGTTATCATTTTTCTAACAGCCTTGGCTGTGCAGAGCATAATAAAAACTAAGAGTGGAACACCTGAATAGCCAAAATTGACATTATAAAGACCACATTATTCGTAAGAAACCCCCTTTAGGCACTCCCTCAGAGTTTACTGATTCTTAGTTGACTCATAATTTTAACAAGCTTGGCTATCTAGTTCTTAGCCTGGAGGGGATTAAGCAATTGGAAGAGAGGGGATTCTAGAAGCAGGAAGTTATTCTAGTTAAGAAGTGACCAGAAGGAAAGAGACAGAAATGTTTTGAAAAGCAAACAACTCAAAGCCATTCCTGTACTGGGGCCATTTAGCACCAGGAAAAAATGGCCTGGTACATTTTTGGCCATTTTGGCCAAAGGGTAAGATTGTATTTGGCCCTAATATACTTAATATTATAAATAATGATCCTGAGGCATCATGAAAAGATTAAATTGTGTCCAGTGACTTCTGCTTTAAAAGAATAGGACTCAAATGTAACAGATTTTATGAAGGTTTTAATCCAAAATGGTTTAAAAAAAAAAGCCAGAGTACTTAAAAGGGATAAATTTATGCTGGCCACATGAAGTATTAGCATGTATTCATAGACTGATGAGGAAAATTGTATTTTGTTTTTATTTTTTAATGTTTTTATGGATGTCTTGCCTATTATATTACAAATAACATTTTTTAAAGACAAAAATAACAAAATATGGAAAAAGTCTGAAACTGCAAAGTGTATTGCGGACTGTCTACTTCTGCAAAGGGATAGAGTAAGAATATCTTCTCATATTCTTCTAATGAGCCATTCTTGTTCTTTATAGTTTTGCAACATTTACTTTTGATGTGTGTGTGTGTGTGTGTGTGTGTGTGTGTGTTGGTTCTTTCTGTTCACATTTGTTATCGTCATTGTGCATATTCTTGGCCCTACTTCTTTCACTCTGCATCAGTTCATGTAGATCTTTCCATACTTTTCTGTATTTATCACATTCGTCATTTCTTATGGCACAATAATGTTTCGTTACATTCACGGACCGTGATTTGTTTAACCATTCCCTAATCTATGGGCACTAACTTTGTTTCCAGTCTTTTGCTAGGACAAAAAGTGCCATTATACATATTTGGGTGTATGTGGGACTGTTCTGATCAGTGACTTTCTTGGCATATAAGCCTATGTGTGGGGTATTTATGAACCCCCTTGTAATAATCAGAGACTTTTCTTAAGAAAGGCAAAAAGGAGTTTTATTGCTTTCTCATGAGAAAGGACACACTCCCTGTCGCTTAAGATGGTGCCAGCAAGGGAGTGTGTGGGCCCTTAAATCTCAGAGCAAGTTCATGTAGACCCTAACCACCCACTGGCTCTTCTTCCCATTGGCTGGGCTTTGGAGCTCACAGTCTAAACAAGGAAACTTCTCCCCAGCACCAAGGACAAAAAGGGCCAAAACAGGGAATGGTTTGCTTCAACAACTAGGGAGGGGGCCTGAGGAGGGATAGAATCCGGTGAACAGGATGTGGCTCTGTCACCTGATCTACTTGGGATACTCTGCTTTCTCAGCGAGGCAGCTTCTAAGAAATATGGGGCGGGATCCTACACTGATGGGGCTTCACTA